TAGCTGAAGGTTGGGAGGCAGAAAAAGGTCCTCCTTTCCTCCCACTCTGCAGTTTTAATCTGAAATCTTAGGCGCGGCACTGCACCCAGAGCTCAGAAACTGCTCGCGCTAATGAAATTCCCTGTAGCAAAATGCGCCTAGAGCAATGGGAGTTTTGAACGCTGCTTCCAAGCCCTGAAGGGGTTGGTGTGAATGGTATGTTACTCTGGTGGGATGGTGGGGCAGAGGAAGTATTGGCCCCATGGCATGCTGGACTGCTCAAGAAGGAGTTAAATTAGCATAACACATTCCTTCTGACATCATGGAGATCTGAAGAGGTTCCAGTACCATAACTTTTTGCAATTATTGCATCATGGAACTGTAACACTTGAGAATTCCATTAGCACTCACCACATTGTACTGTTGGTTCATGTCTAGTAAAGCCTGTAGATTCTTTACATGTGTGTTGCTGCCTGCCCTGTGTTTGATTGTTCTTACTTACCTGCATACCTTTAGATATCACTCATTTCGTTAATTCTGGCCCATTTCAGCATTCTGTCAAGATCATCTTCAATCCTGCTTCTGTCCTCTCTAAGAGTTTAGCTACCACACCTGGAATGGTGCTATAAATAGGTTAAGCAACACTACGGTGGAACCAATGGATTCAAAATACAAGGAGATTCTGACTAAACATCAGGAAGAACTTTTTTTTTGGTTAAATGTTTCAACATAAGATACAATAAAAGCCAAAGTAACCCAAAAAAGAAAAAGATGCAGAAAAGCCAAAATAAGAGGAAAAACAAAAAAATAAAGAGGCAACAGAGGGAAGAAGAAATAGATATAAAAACCCTCTATCACAATTGTATCATATCTTTTATCCATATACAGAAAAGTAGATCTTCTCAGCTCTCAGCTGGGAACTTCTGTTTCTTCCCCCTACCTCCCACTCTGGGGGAACTTTTCTAGAAGAGCTTTCGGATGGGAAGAGCTGTTTGACAGTGGAATGGACTTGGAAGGTTATGGACTCTCCTTTGTTAGGGGTTTTTATACAGAGGACAAGGATGGGTGGCCATCTTTCGGGGATTCTTCAGCTGTGATTCCTGCATTGCAAGGAGTTGCTGACCCTTGGGATTCCTTCCATCTATGATTCTATGAACCCAGAGGTATCGCATGCCACAGTTCCCTAAGTTCATAGGAAGCCATTGATTAGCACGCTTTGGATAGGTCACACCTGACTGGTGCCATCTAGCTAGTACCGTATTTTTCGCTCTATAAGACGCACTTTCCCCCCTCCAAAAATTAAGGGGAAATGTGTGTGTGTCTTATGGAACAAATGCAGGCTCCATGGCTCCCGCTGCGCTCCGGAGGCTTTGTGTTGCTTTCGCTGAAGCCAGGAGAGTGAGAGGGATTGGTGCTCACCGATCCCTCTTGCTCTCCAGGCTTCGCTTCTCTGGAGAGGCGCTGCGCAGCTTTCCCTCTCTGAACAACGCCCCTTCAATGAAGTGGGAGGAGAAATGGAAGGGGCTCCATTTCTCCTGCCACTTCGCTGAAGGGGCACTGTGCAGAGAGGGAGAGATTTTTTTCTTTTCTTGTTCTCCCCCTCTAAAACTAGGTGCGTCCTATGGTTGGGTGTGTCCTATAGAGCAAAAAATACGGTATTTTACCAGTGTGGCAACAAAAATATAATAGGGAATCTTGTTGAAATTGGGAGTCTTCCCCAGCCCCCCCACCAGGGATGCCAGCACAGAAAAAGCTTGCATCCAATTATTTTCTACTCATAGTAGACCCATTAACAGTTATCAACATGACTAATTCAGGTCTGTTAAGGTTGGTGCTCTACTCTTCGTAGAACTTCATTGGATGCAGTTCAAAGCATATGCTCTGCTTTTGAGGTATGGGCCTTAGACTGAGTTGGTTCATCTGGCTCAGTCTTGTCTACATGGACTGGCAGTGACTCTCCTGGGTTCCCAGCTCCCATGTCTCTCCCAGCCCTTCCTGGAGGTGTCTGGGATTGAACGTGGGACGTTCTGCATGCAAATATTACCAGGCTAGGCCCATTTCTCAAAGAGTCCGTCTCTCCTCCAGTTAGACCCCATGAAAACATGGAGGGATAATTAGCTACCTGTGAGGAGCACTGGATGATAGGGGGTGAGGGGAGAGCAGAGGCTGTTGCAAAGACACAACACCTTGTGGGTGCTTTAAGAACCCTTAATTATTTAATTGCTTCTGTTTCTTGTAAGGCTTCTGCAACTCTCTTGCGGCATGCTGGCGTCTCCCATGAGAATGACTGCAATATATAGAGAGAGGGAGAACACTCTGACAGACTTTGAACATGATGACTTGGATATCTTTTGGGCACGCTCTAGTTCCAACATCCATTTATCTGTCCCGGTGATTGCATGTAATTTTATGAGCTGTGTTATTTGCGAGGTCTGATAAGGTTAGCACAGCAGCCCTTCGGAGGTCTTCATTTCCTTCCAGGCTGCGAAACTGTATTCCTTACAGTGTTTCTCAACCTGTGGGTCCCCCAGATGTTGGACTACAACTCCCATCATCCCTGAACTCTGGCCTTGCTAGCTAGGGGTGATGGGAGTTGTAGTTCAACAACATCTGGGGACCCACAGGTTGAGGAAGGAAGGAGGGAGGGAAGGAATGAAGGAAGGCAGGAAGGAAGGGGAATCCTAGCAGATCCACAACAGGCTGGATTTAAAACACAATTAATTTTAGACACAATTAATTTGCTGATGAGGGCCAATCATCCAACATCTGTCAAATGAAGGTGCAAAGATGTTGGCAGTGGTGTGCACATATAATTTTTGATGTCTGAGCAGAGGCTGGGCATCACTCTGTTGGGGACATTCTAGCTCAGCATTTCCTGCATTAAGCAGTCATGGAACAAGATGACCTTCAAAGCACACGCACACACACACACACACACACACACACACACCATCTCTATATTTCTGCCATTTTCTTCTAATCGGCAGCAACTTTAGGTGCTGAAATGTGAAATGAAATACAAAAACTTTTAAAAGGGGGAGGAATTGGAAAGTTCGTAGTTTTGGGGCGGGGTGGGGGGCATACACATCATAAGTATTATGCAAGGGTCAGTACTGAGTGGTTTGTATATTATTTCCCTTTTCTTTCTGTGTGCGTCATGATCCCATTGCCTAGTACCATTATTACTCAAAGGAAGCCTTAGGCAACTCACAAATCACCCTGGTCAGGGACGAGATCATTTTATTAGGGATGGGTGAATGTGTTGATTTTGGGGTCACTTTTTCCACTCAGGTTCAGTTCTCCACAGTCCTACATGAGTTTGATATATCTAATTTAAAACCTCTTACTCAAGGGCATAGCTTGCTATGAAGCAAGATGGATGTGTTGTCTAACTCTGCACTCCCTATAGAGGTTTACATATCTCTAAAAATAGCATTTTATCTCACGGCATGAAAAAACCCATACATGGTTCTTAACTGGGGACATGACAGGGAATGCACTGAGGACAAAGAGGAACCCTAAAGCAGAGGGTGTGCTTTCAACAGATGGGAAAGTCTCTCTGACATCCTTAGCAATGATGAAGTAAATCTGGTGCTTGGAGGACCTAAAAGCCATAAGACAGGAAAGTTAACATCTGGCACACAGGACGATGCTGATCTTACAGATCAATTATCACTAATGAGAAAAGCATTCGTAAATGACTCAAATGCTGCTCCTGCCCTATAAACCACTCTTTAAGGGATCTTTACACAGAAGTGAGAGATGGCACCAAAATGGCTAATGAGGCCCTAGATCCCAGCCTAAAACAGCAACCTCGGGTTGATGGAGTAAAATGGCAGTTTGTGACTTGAGAATCCATATGGATGAGCAGGAAAATTAGGCACGGAGGGCGATCATTCACTTTAGAGGGGTCCTTCCCTTAGCAGGAAACCTGGTGAGATTTTAATATGACAGAATAGATAATGATCAGTCCCCCCTCTGATATAGAGCGAGTTTTAAGAGTCCTGGGTCCCAGGAAACAAAGCGGCAGGAATAACACATTTCTCATAACTGAGTTCTCCGCCTCAGTAAAAGAAAACATATACATTGCCCTTTGCAACCTCCATAGCATCAGCTATAACAACGCTTCTATCAGGACTTATGTCCAGAAATGTTAGGTAAGGATATGGTTTTATGTCTAGTGGTAGTGGTCAGATTGGAGATAGCACAACAGAAGGCCCTCAGAGCTGAATCTTGGTGTCTGAGCTGAACGATAAGGGTGGAGATGCTCCTTCAGGTATACTGGGCCGAGGCCGCTTAGAGCTTTAAAGGTCAGCACCAACACTTTGAAATGTGCTCAGAATTGTAATAGTAGACAGTGTAGATCTTTTAGGACGGGTGTTATATGGTCCCAGCAGTCACTCTCAGTTGCCAGTCTAACTGCCACTTTCTGGATTAGTTGTAGTAATCAAAGGTAGCCCCACGCAGAGCACAATGCAGTAGTCCAAGTGGGAGATAACCAGAGCATGCACAACTCTGGTGAGACAGTCTGCGGGCAGGCAGGGTCTCAGCCTGTGTACCAGATGGAGTTGGTAGACAGCTGCCCTGGACACAGAATTAACCTCTGTCTCCATGGACAGCTGTGAGTCCCAAATGACCCCCAGGCTGTGCACCTGTTATTTCAGTTACCTCATTCAGGACCAGGGAATCCCCCACATCCACCATCCCCCCAAAACAGTCAGGATTCAACCTCAATCCATTAACCACCATTCACCCTCCAGCAATTATGTGCTTACATATTGTAAACTGTATGTGATCCTTGGATAGGAAGTGCAGTACAGTGGTACCTCAGTTTACAAACTTAATCTGTTCCAGAAGTCTGTTCTTAAACCAAAACCGTTTTTAAACCAAGCTGCACTTTCCCTAATGAGGCCTTCAGCTGCCAGGGCCCTGTTCGGCTTCTGTTCTTAGACTGAGGTAAAATTCACAAACCGGGACACTACTTCTGGTTTTGTGGAGTTCGTAAACCAAATATGTAGTTCATAAACAGGGCTGTACTTAAACCGAGGTACCACTGTAGAGAAATTTAAAAAGTATAAAGAAATACTTTTTTAATTTCTCTACAGTGGTACCTCGGTTTAAGTACAGCCCTGTTTACAAACTATATATATATATATATATATGGGACGCAGGTGGCGCTATGGGTTAAATCACAGAGCCTAGGACTCGCCGAGCAGAAGGTCGGCAGTTCAATTCCCCCCCGACGGGGTGAGCTCCCATTGCTTGGTCCCTGCTCCTGCCAACCTAGCAGTTCGAAAGCACATCAAAGTACAAGTAGATAAATAGGTACCGCTCCAGCGGGAAGGTAAACGTTGTTTCTGTGCGCTGCTCTGGTTTTCCAGAAGTGGCTTAGTCGTGCTGGCCACATGATCCAGAAGCTGTACACCAGCTCCCTCAGCCAGTAAAGCGAGATGAGCGCCACAACCCCAGAGTCAGTCACGACTGGACCTAATGGTCAGGCGTCCCGTGTGTGTGTGTGTGTGTGTGTATATATATATATATGTATATATATATGTATATATATATGTATATATGTATTCTAGTGACCAAATGTCCTCATGAAGAACCTAGCTAATACACCCTCCATCCTAGGCTGGCTGTTCCATCTGTAAGCACATCTGACAGGAGACCATCTGGGAACTGCATGAAAGCTTTTCCAAGCCCTCCAGTGCAGAGAGCAGCATTGTTGCACCATAAATAAAATAGTCAATTATATACTAAATCAGTTACTGTATTTTTTGCTCTATAAGACACACTTTTTCCCTCCTAAAAAGTAAGGGGAAATGTATGTGCATCTTAGGGAGCGAATGCAGGCTGCACAGCTATCCCAGAAGCCAGAACAGCAAAAGGGATCGCTGCTTTCGCTGTGCAGCGATCCCTCTTGCTTTTCTGGCTTCTGGGATTCAGAATATTTTTTCCCTTGTTTTCCTCCTCCAAAAACTAGATGCATCTCGTAGTCTGGTGCGTCTTATAGAGCGAAAAATACGGTACTTTACCTTTCATCCCTGAGGACACACAAGCAAAATGCCCCCCTAAAAACATGTCCTTAACTATCCACCAACCTTAGAGAAGCTTGCTCTCCCCTGTTGTTTATCTGACAGTACAAGCCAAGCATGTCTACACAGAAGTAATCCCTGTGGAATTCAATAGGGGTTACTCCCAGAACACTCTCCCCTGCCACACACACACCCCAAACTTGACTGGGCGCCTGTCAATCACTTGTCAATCGCCATAACAATGATATCAATTCATCCATTTTTGCCCCAAAGCCACCAATAATCATGTGAACTCTGAACACTGAGGCTGTAATCCTGTGCATATTTACCTGGGAGTAAGCCTCTCTGAAAGCAGAAAGCTGTAAATTCCAGAAAACCACCTTTGATATTTTTTTTAAAGTGTGCTTTATATAACAACTAACATTTAATTGCTAACTGAGTCCACCAGTTAAATGGCCTTAATCAGCTAAAATAATAATAATAATGAATCAGTTACCAGCACAAAAGTAGCACATTTTTTTTTATGAATGGGGGAAAAAAAACATAATTTGTTTTGCTTTAAATCATGCAGCTGTTACCTTCCAAGCCTTTGGATTTTTTACGCATGAGAGGAAAAGTGAATAATACCATACACACAAATGCCCTGAAGCTTTGAATGGTGAATTATGAAGTCATTAACATTTGCAAAATAAACATAATAGGCTTGTACAAGCCTTATGACACATTGCACAGGGGATGGGAGAGGAACTCAGAATTATTTGAGCAACATTAAAAGAGCTGGATAGAAAAACAGCAACCATAATGGGAAGCAATGGCCGTGCTGTAGCCTCCAGAAACAGGTTCTGACTTTTTCTCATTTTGTGTGCTGTGTCCATTCGAAGCTTTCCAGCCCTCTTGCAAAACAAAGAAACACAAAACACAGATCAGCAGCCTGGGCTTTGCTTCCAACTAAGTTTACTTGGAGTAGACCCATTACAATTAATGGACTCAAGTTAGTCATGTTCATTAATTTCAATGTGTCTACTCTGAGTCAGACTAAGGTTGAATGAAACCCATGGAGACTTTCTTATGTCCTCCTCAGAGTAGACCTATTGAAGTTAATGGACATTACTAAGGTAGGTCAATGAGTCTAGGGCCGGATTTAGGTTTGATGAGGCCCTAAGCTACTAAAGGTAATGGGGCCCTTTATATGTCCAGCTGTCCTTTGTCAACAACAAATTATCGCTGTTTTTGGTGTTGAATATATGCTATATGGTAATTTATGGACCTAATAGGTACCGTATTTTTCGTTCTATAGGACACACATTTCCCCCTCCAAAAATTAAGGGGAAATGTGTGTGCGTCCTATAGAGCGAATGCAGGCTGCGCCGCTAAGCCCAAAGCCAGAACAGGAAGACGGAGCACTGCGGAGCGCTCCGTCTCGCTGCTCTAGCTTGGGGACGGCTGCGCGCAAACCTCTGCAGGGCAGTGGGGCGCTGTGCTCCAGAGGCTTCAGGGATCTTTGAGGCTGGCGGTGGGGGAAAGCAGCGCTTCCCCCCACTGCCAGCCCCACAAGCTCTGGTGAATGTACCTTGAACACACCTTGTTTTAGAGGGGGAGAACAAGAAAAAAAAAATTTTCCCTGTTCTCCCCCTCCTATGATCCGGTGCGTCCTATGGTCCGGTGCGTCCAATGGAGCGAAAAATACGGTATCTAAAGCCAATCGCACATGTTGCCATGCAACCAGTCCATGCAGAATATAGGCACCCTCTATATGGAAATGAGCAAACCAGTGATATATTAGGAAGCAGGCTAGCTGGCAGGGCCCATTACTTACATCATAGGAGCCTACACAACACAAAACACTGTTGCTGTATGCAGGTTTTATTTTATTTGTTTTTTATCTTATATTTCGGAAATGTACATCCAGTGGGTTTTTTCCTTTACATTTTTTGGGGGCCCCTAAGAGATTGGAGCCCTAAGTTATAGCTTGTTTAGCTTATATGTAAATCTGGGACTGAATGAGTCTACTTCCGAAGCGAGATGAGCACCGCACCCCATAGTCGCCTTTGACTGGACTTAACTCTTCATGGGTCCTTTACTTTTACATATTTCCAAATAGCGCTACTATTGCAGACCATCATTGGTGTGAATTGCTCTGTCATCACCGGAGAGGTTGAATGGAGAGGGGCAGTCTCTGATTGACATCTGACATAAACCTGCCAAGTATGACCCCTAGTCAGACTAGAACCTGGGAGACCAGGGTTCAAATCCCCACTCAGTCATGAGGCTCGCTGGGTCAGTTATTGCCTCTCAGCCTAGCCTACCCCACAGGATTGTTGTGAGGATTAAATGAGGCGTACCATGTGTGTAAGGGACGCGGGTGGCGCTGTGGGTTAAACCACAGAGCCTAGGGCTTGCCGATCAAAAGGTTGGCGGTTCGAATCCCCGCGACGGGGTGAGCTCCCGTTGCTCGGTCCCTGCTCCTGCCAACCTAGCGGTTCGAAAGCACATCAAAGTGCAAGTAGATAAACAGATACCGCTCCGGTGGGAAGGTAAACGGCATTTCCGTGCGCTGCTTTGGTTTGCCAGAAGCAGCTTCATCATGCTGGCCACATGACCCGGAAGCTGTACGCCGGCTCCCTCGGCCAATAAAGCGAGATGAGCGCTGCAACCCCAGAGTCATCTGTGACTGGATATAACGGTCAGGGGTCCCTTTACCTTACCATGTGTGCCCCCAGGAGCTCCTTGGAGAAAATGATGGGACAGAAATGCAAGGGGGGCGGGAGTGGAAAACAAGTTGTCTTTAAACACACTTTACTTCTCTGTTACTCATTGATGCTCATACTAGGGAGGATGAAATCTGTTTCATCTTCTGCCTACTCCCCCCCCCCCCAATTTAAAATTTGGCTCATCACATTTCTGCATCAGCTCCCAGGATCTTTTAAAATATGCCTGCATGGCCTAGTATATGCATTGTCTGTACATTATGTTCACTAATACCCCCCCCTTTTTTTTTTTGGTAAGCTCTTTCTCCTTATATACACATTTTGGTAGATTATTTTAGCCAGACAACTGCATTGCAAAATTGGAAGGAGTGCCAATTTCTTTGTTTTGGGTTAAGGAACAGCAAATTATCTTCTTTTGCTTTTTGGTACTGTTTTTTTAAAAACCTTTTTAGCTGTTTCGACGGTATGTACGCAAAAGGTGATGTTATGATTGCACAGATTATGCCTGTTAGCATTAAAGTGAGGACAAAACTACTTTCTCCGCCATCCCAAGCTCAAAATGGCCCTCATTTTTCTTTGCTGTGGGAGCATCACAAAGATGGGCTTTCCCATTGTGATTATTTTATTAATAAACAAAATAAACCAAAAATGGGCTTTCAGATTACAATGTGGCAATGATGCGCCTGCATTCCTGCATGATGTTGTTATTCTGTGAACTGCCCTGAGACTTTTGATGAAGGGTGGTATATAAATTGAATGAATGAATGAATGAATGAATGAATTATAAATACGTAATTATAGGCTCTCTTGCTTAGCCGCTTAAAACCATACCTGCTGCTCTCTGTGGAGCTAGGAATGGATGGATGACAACTAAGCATCTGCTAATCAACAAAAAATGGAATTTTCTGTGCCCACAGATCCAGATGAGCCAAATTTTCAATAATTGGCAATTGACACAAAGTTCTGGAGCTCCATTTTCTTTTATAGTTTCCCAGGCAAAGCCAAGGCACAGTAATGCCCTCTAGTGTTGGTTTCAAATCTCTCTCTCTCTCTCTCTCTCTCTCTCTCTCACACACACACACACACACACACACACACACACACAGTATTCTGACTAGTGACTGGCTGGCCACCAGCTAATAATAGCCAACTGACTGACTGAGCAGGAATGAGCTGTTGACTTGGTGGTGGATTAGCTCAATATAAACATCAAGTCAGCATGTGGCAGTGATGAACAAGGCAAATTCCGTGTTTGGAATTCCTAGGAAAGGGGTTGGAAATAATCTTGTCAGAATAGCAATGTCCTTGTACAAATCTTTTGTGCTGTCAAATTTGGAATACGGTGTACAATCATTATCACCATACATAGGCGCCGACAGCTAGGGGCTGAGGCAGTTTCGGCCTGGAATTTGTATTTAGGAAAAGAAACATAAACGGTGAGTTTATGAGTTTATCCCTCCCTACAGCATCCAATGGCTTCTTCCTTGATTGCAGCTTGGCTGTTCAGATTTCCAAGGAGATCCTCTGCAAAGGACTCCAGGGGCTTCTAAACTGCTTCCTATTGATTTCCCTACTAAGATAGTTTATCACTCCTTGTTACTTTTAAAAAGCAATGTAATCTGTGCTGTGAACTGAATAGGGTTTATTAGACAAATCCTATCCTAGCCAGTCTAAAGGTGGCTATATGGCATCACTATTCATGTTTGGTGAATTTTTCCCCCTTAAAAATAAAATAAAAACCCTGTATTGAAAGTGCCTCTTCCCATTTCCTAGAGAAGAGCTGACACCTTCAGCCAGCGTCTCCCAAACTTGGGTCTCCAGCTGTTTTTGGACTACAATACCCATCATCCCTGATGACTGCACCTGCTAGGTGGGGATGATGGGAGTTGTAGTCCAAAAACAGCTGGAGACCCAAGTTTGGGAAAACCCGCCTTAAGCTAAAGCAGATCTGGACTGATTGCAGAAGAGCACCGGGTTGTCCCATGGGAAGACCCAAATGCTAGCAGCGTTAAGGGATCCGACATCACTGGATGACATGGCTGCTGTCAGGACCTTGCAATGTGGGGACAGGGACTCTGAGAATGAGGTCCAGGCTCCTTTGCCAGGAGGAGAACAGATGCAAGGCACAGGCTTACCACCATCCTCTGCATTGCCTGTCTCCCTTTGCCTAACAGAAGTCAACGGCTACAAAAGAGAGCTCTTTAAGAAGCCAGTTGGTTTCTCTGTAGGGAGATGGAACCTACCACATTCCAGGTCTGGTCAGCCTGGCTTCAGCTAGCTCTAGCTCCCTACAGAGACAGCATTTCCCTGTAGCTGCCTTAGGAGGAGAACACTCTCTGAGCAGCAGGGCCTTCTTGGGGCTGTCCAAGGTACTGATCCTGTTTGCCTTACCTGTTCCCCCTACAGCAGGCTTCCTCAACCTCGGCCCTCCACATGTTTTTGGCCTACAACTCCCATGATCCCTAGCTAGCAGGACCAGTGGTCAGGGATGATGGGAATTGTAGTCTCAAAACATCTGGAGGGCCGAGGTTGAGGAAGCCTGCCCTACAGCTTGACTCTGGTTCCCATCGGCACCTACTGAAGTTCTTTGCTCGGCAGGGTCCTTGCTTCTGAGTGGAGATGCTGAGGGAGGGAGGAATCCCAAACTGGCCAAATTCACAGAGGAGAGGGCTGTTCATAGAATTGTAGAGTTGGAAGGAACCAGAAGGGTCATCTAATCCAAGCCCCCCTGAAATGCAGGAATCTTTTGCCCAATGTGGGCCTTGAACCTGAGATGAAGAGTCTCATGCTCTACCAACTGAGCCATGAAGAACTCTAGCCATTGTGGCTACTAGTCACAATGGCTGTGTTCTGCCATCACAGCTGCAGGCAGCAATGCTTCTGAATACCAGTTGCTGGGAGCCAAAGGTGGGGAGAGTAGTCTTGTGCCCGTATCCTGGTTTCCTGCAAGCATCTGGTTGGCCACTGTGAGAACAGGATGCTGGACTAAATGGGCCATTGGTTTGATCCAGCAGGTTCTCCTTATGTTCTTCTGGAAACCAAAATGAGCACAAGTCATGTTTTTACCACTGCTGTCTTCTCACATGTTAAGGCTGGTCCATAGGCAGGAGTCTTTGATTAGCCAGGATTGATGGGACAAGCCAGAAGTCAAGGACAAAGGACAAACCAGGAAGCAGGATGGAGGAGCAAATCAGGAGCCAGGGCCAAAGGATCTCACCTTTCACAGGTGTTTCCAGCTATCCTACAACATTCTGAGCTACTTAACTGAAACTTCCCAGATGTGACTGGCTGCCCGCTTCAAGAACTGCCATTAGTCATTTTGGCCCATTGTCCCTCTCTTCTCCATACCCAGAACACTTCACACCAATCAGAGAGTATTCTCATGACAATATTATGGGGTAATTCTGTTTTCCTAATATGTCTTTATCCAAAAGAATATGTGTCACCTTCTTAGCGTTGGGTTAGGATCCTAGCTCACTCTGCATTTTTGGAATCACCCTTCTAATTTCTCTCTCTCACACACACCCACACACACACCTGACCCATGTGCAAATTGGAACATTGTTCTGTGGATAGAGGCACATAATCAGAACTGTGTGTGGGTCTGGACTGTACAGCGGTACCTCAGGTTACATACGCTTCAGCTTACATACGCTTCAGGTTACAGACTCCGCTAACCCAGAAATAGTGCTTCAGGTTAAGAACTTTGCTTCAGGATGAGAACAGAAATCGTGCTCTGGCGGCGTGGCGGCAGCAGGAGGCCCCATTAGCTAAAGTGGTGCTTCAGGTTAAGAACAGTTTCAGGTTAAGAACGGACCTCCAGAATGAATTAAGTACTTAACCTGAGATACCACTGTACTTAGAAGGTAGGCTGAAGGACATGGGGGGCAGAGATATATTTCCACCCTGTACAGTTCCCCAGGATTGGGGCTGCACATGAAATACAGTCACTTCTTGGAAGCATTTTAAATGGGAATTTTTAATTTTCAGAAACAAGGAGCCCTCCAGTCACCTCATAAGTACTCCCTACTTTTACAAACTAACAGAAAGGCAAGAATTGTTTTTTTAAGAGAAACAACAGTATGTGTCTCAAAGGGATCTATTACAATCTCACCCACTGAATGAAGTCCTGCCCACAAAATCCTCTTTACGATCTGACCATCTCAAAATCTGCCTATAAACGAGATGAAATTGAGCAAGGTTTGGAGGGGCATTAGGGACATGAAGCTGGCACAGGACAGAATAATGTGATCCATCCATCATGACACCTTGTTAGTTTATTTGACACCTTGTTAGTTTGTTTGTTTGCCTGTCTATTAATTACTGGAGGACAAGCTGATAGTAAAATATGCATAGAGTAGAGCCATCAGCAACAGCGCCACCTGCAGGTTTCGGGAGCTAGGGATGGAGGCGGAATCTGTTTTGAATCGATTCATAGACAGAATTTGGCTGTTCTGACCTAACCGAGTATTCTTTTCTATGGACTGCCTCATCTATCAACGGCCTGCTTATGTCTCAGCTGTTTGTGCATTGTCAGGTTTTCTTTTCTTTTTGAAGTCAGGCTAATGATATGCAACATTATAGACACACAAAATGCATGTTCTGTGTATATCAAATGCTGTTGTACTCCAGATCCAATCAGTCTGAAACAGAATGGCTAATGGTCAAGGATGATGGCAGTTGCAGCTCAGAAACATTCAGTGAGCCACAGACACCCCTCCCCTGATTTAGAAGTCAATGCATCCCCTGGGTTCAGCTCCACTGAAAACGAACTGGAATACAATTTGATGTAGGAACAGATGGGGAGCTTGACCCGACTGCTAACTGACTAGTCTCCTAATGAAAATAATGGATTTAAAAAAAAAGGTTTCTACACTCTTTGCGGTGGCTTGGAGGCGCATAGGATTTGGGCAACTAATTCTGTTTAATCCCTTCCAAGAAAGCCCCAAGGCTGTAATATGCAGATGAGGAAACATGGACAATGAAAATCAATGATTCTTCCTCGTTGCTTATTTGCCTTGAGAAAGTTGACACAGCTGAGCACAAATGTACCATCCTAGGCTGGCAACCTCATCCGAAGTCAGATTAATTCCACACCAGCAACAATACACATTTGAAAGCTGTAACATAGGAATCCATCTGGTGTGAGTTCTAGTTCTGTGATGAAAACAAAAATATTATGAAAACCAGTCTATTATATATATGACGCCAACATCATGCACTCTGCTCCATTGGAGTGTATGTATCAGGAACAATTCCCTCTTGGATATCCTTTGCTAAAAGGTTGTTGCTTGAAACTTAATTCCCCAGGCACCCCCAGAATTCCCTAGTAAAGGGATGTCGGACCTGTGGCCCTCCAAATGTTCCTGGATCCTCAGCTCCCACTATACCTGATAATTGGTCCTGTTGGCTGGGGCTGTTGGGAATTGGGGTTCAGGAACATCTGGAGGGCTGCAGGTTCCTCACTCCTGCTCTAAAAATTAAATCTCTTTGGTGGGTGGATGCATCTTGTCTCTGTCATGCATTTTCCTTCATGCGTGCATGTGAGCATTGAGGCACCATGCTAGCTCAAAGGGCAAAATGGCAGGCTGTGCAATGGGCATTTCACACCCTGAGGTATGTTTTGTACCGTGCTAGTGTTGAGACTTTGAGTACGAGCAGCTTTTGGAGTAGACAATTAGTGGGTTGGCAACAAGCCAAGTTAAACAGAGTACGTGAGAAAGTCTGCTTGGGGACAAGGAAGCCTAGCAACAGGTGTTGATTGGCTAAGTTCTTCCTTATAAGCAGTATGACACAGCAGTTTTGTTATTGGAGTGTTGAGTTTTGGAAAAGAGTTTGAATCTTGTCTCTGCGTGTATATAGTAACTTCTACAAAGCTGTGCTCTACTCTGCTGTATATAATATAGCTAACTAAAAATCAAGTTACTAGTCAGCAAGTTCTATTCCTGTTCGTCGTCCTGGAATTCACTGATTTGGCAGCTGGTAGCAAGAGTTATGGTTGAGATCCATCAACAGCTAACATATTGTCAGGCAACCGTTTTGTGCTAAAGCCTAATGCTTTCACCCCAACAATTAACAACAACAAAAAATCAACTGGGTTTTAATTTGGTGGGGGATATGCAATGCTTTTTTTCAGGGGGTACTCAAGAGTATTGGAACCTCTTTTTTGTTGTTGTTAAAATGTATGGCACTGACTGTAACAACTTCATGGTGAGTACCAACACCTATTTTTCTAGATGTAAATTTCTCCAAAGAAACTTGTATTTAGAGGGTATGAAGGATTGGGAAGGTTGGTTATTCACATGAAATATAAAATTTGACAACACGGCTGCACAGTCTTCTGGCTCTGCTTGTCAAGGTGCACAAATAACAAGCAAATCCCCCGGAAGTTGCTATAAATAAAGCTCTTTGTACCAGTTCTCTAAAGTAATTGATGAAGCATATTTCCATCCCCTTGAAATAACTAGGTGCGCTGCTAGCATCAAATATATGACAAGGGGTTTGCAAACAGTACCAGCGTTAGATAGTAAACATAGAGTGAAATTGGATCCCAAGTTATCTCCTGTGATGACATTAATCTCCACAACTGCTTGCTCCAAAAAGTCTTTTACTGCTGGATAGGTCAACCAGCGATGCCAACGCAATACCTCTTTCATTGCATTTCTGCCAACACAGAGAATTACCATTGCCCTGAATGCGGGCCATTTGAACTGGTGTATAAAACCATTGGTGCATGGTCTTAACAGAGTTCTCTTGGATGTTAGCAGAAATGGAGGTACCAAGCTTCACTTACCTCATTTTACCATAGGGATCTGGCCCCGGCCCCCGGATCTTCCTCCAGATCCATTTCCCATACTGGTATTTGGACTAGATGGGCCATGGGCCTGATCCAGAAAGATATTCTTGTGTTCATACGCCTCTGCATCTTTTCTTAGAAATAAGCCCCATTGAGTTAAATGAGACTTGCTCATAAGGAAGTGTTAAATCAGTGCTTTCTCCAAACAATAGGCTGGAATCCATCAGCTGGCCTTGAACCACTTTCCGGTGGGGCCTTGATGCCACAGTCTGCCTAGTGCCTCCCCACTTCCCTGGCCCTGCCCTATAGCTGTTCCATAGCCTTTTGGTTGGACCAACACACCAGGAATTCCTTGCATACTGAGCAAAGGTCTCTGGGAGACAGAGAAACTTGGGATAGAGGAGGAGGAGGTCTCCTTCCTCTGAAAGGAAAGGCCCAGAGGAAGTGTTAAAGGAAATCAGAAGGTGACATAAACCGGTAAATTCATCACCAAACAAACAACCTGGGGATGGGAAGGAAGGGAATAAGAGAGAGAAACCGTGAGAGGAGTGAGTGAATGGGGAAAGACCCTGACTGAAAGAAAATGGCAGTTTGGGGAATAAGGTTCAAATTGTGCTTGAAAGGAGAATGAGAGAAGAAATTACAGGTCATGAGATAAAACAAACAATCTTTGATAGGTCTTTGGGGTGGATAAGAAGGGGACTGAAATATACTTAGAGTCGAGAGTGGATTTCATGCACTTTATTCAGCTCCTAGTGGTGAGGAGGAATGGAAGTTCCCCCAGAATGTCTGCTTTATATACATTATTTACACAATGGGCCCCACATGATTGGCTAATTCTGGGATTCACCTGTAGGCCAATCAGGTTGCAGATTCACTTCCACCTGGAGCTGGATTGGGTGGCTCCTGTGGACCAGTCAGACTGCTGCATTCTGGACCCTATTGTTCTAGGACCAATCAGACTGCTGCATTCTGGACCCTATTGTTCTAGGACCAATCAGACTGCTGCCTTTTGG